GCTGGGAATGCCGCACACGCCACAGATATACACTCTGCTGGGAATGCCGCACAAGCCGCAGATATACACTCTGCTGGGAATGCCGCACACGCCGCAGATATACACTCTGCTGGGAATGCCGCACACGCGCAGATATACACTCTGCAGGGAATGCTGCACACGCCGCAGATATACACTCTGCTGGGAATGAAATGCCACTCTTTCTCGCACTATTCCCCCCGTCATGCGGCATGCGTTACACACACGCCGTGCACTGACGTGCACAGCAGTGGCATTTCACAAACGACAGGGCCACGTGTTCGCGGTCATGACTTGCCAGCCGTCCCACTGTGGCAGCCCCTACTGGAGCCCAGTGGGGGGCCAGAGCCGAGTGGCTGTGAACCCAGAAGACAGGTGTAGATTAATGCAGGTTCAGCGGAATGTAGATGGTTAGCATTAGCAGGGCATGTGACTTAGGGCTGTGGTTAGTAATCTGCAGACTCCCAGCAAGTTAAGGAGTCACCAAACACCTAGACTGTTACAGCTTCTTAATTAACCAGCATAACCTGTGTAAATGCCAGCGTGGAGGATTGTAGGTTTGCCAGGAATGTATAATGATAACATAACCAATAATCACCATACTTACAGTATAATTTTATGGCAGCTATTTTCATTCATGAGTTTATTATGAGTTCAAAATTTCCGTCGCGATGCCTTTGGATGTCCCTGATAGCTCTATCATAGGCTGGCCGATTTCCCGGCATGCCCGGCTGCGGCCGCATGGCTGCCACACGCCCGGCTGCTCTGGCCCTGCAGATGTCCAGGCTGACCTTCCTCTCCATGCAAGTGACCTGATCAGTCCCAAGAGGGCAGATCAATAAAGAGCTTTATCGCTGTGCAAGTCATTCGCTAATATTGATTTCTCCCACTAATTATTTACCCTGCCTTATGCCCCCCTTATTTTATTTTATCCTCCTATATCACCCCCTATATCACCTTCTCTAATTACAGCGTGCCAGTGATGGACAGCAGGGTTACCGCATGATGGCGTCAGATATGAATGAAGCTAAAATCAGTGGAATCAGAGCATCAATAACATGCTAATGGGTGGATAGTGGCATCATAGGGAGGCTGCCATGGATGCGGAGGCACAGCTATGAGTCACCGATACAGCAGGGTGCGTGTGTGTGTGTGCGTGTGTGTGTGTCCTCTAGCCTGTCCCCAGGCCTGCATGTCACTCCCCGCGAGACGCCGCTGTCACCCCATCAGCCGGCTCTCGTCTCTCCCACCTGTGAGGCTGCGGACATCAGCACTTCCAGACTCTCTTTAATTCCCACGGGCTGCCCCACACACCCAGGGGGGGCATTGGTTGGCCAGCCACTTTGGCCTGCACCTCTGAGGCCATTTGTGACACCATACAAATCATAGGGTGACACCGAATGAACAGACACCTAATCTGGGCAGCCACTCTCACTGACATTATTACTACTTTCAAAATTAATGAAGTTAAACCTGGGATCAGTGTGACCACTGGGTGGAGCTATTTCGTGTTCGTTCAAATAAGACCTTAGTCAAGCATTGCTGATGATCACAGCAGCTGCTTCCTGGACGGAAAGGTAGCGCCCTCACCTGGACAGGGGAGAAAATCTTGCTGGGGTTCTGCGACTCTTTGTGGGGTGTGCTGGGGTTTGCGCAGGCCCCTGCCCCGCCACGGGAGGCTCCGCCCCCTCGGACTCCGGCCTGCCCGCCCATGCAGCAGAGCGTCCCCTGGGCCAACTCCATCTCGATCTCCGCGTCCATCTCCGCGTCCTCCTGCGCCTCCTTGTTGGAGTCGTCCAGATGCTTCATGAGCACGGCCACCACCACGTTGATGAGCACGAACTGGGCCGTCAGCACGAAGCTCACGAAGTACATGGGCGAGATGAACTGCAGGCTGGCGTTGCAGTTGTACTCGCTTGACGGGCACTCGCGCAGTGTGTCCTGCAGGGGGCGCAGCTGAGAGTTACCACAGCAGACTGGCAACACGCGACGTCATTTCATCACCGGAGGAATCGGTCCCTCCATGAAGTGGTGCCAGATCACTGCAGCTAAACCAGTGAGTCGTGTTAATTGTGTCGTTCCGACTGGCTGCGGTTTAAAGGCACTGAATTACGTCTCCTCAATCAAACAGCATCTGATGATGGAACAGGACGTCATCAAGACGACCGTGCAGAGAAAATGAGCACGGAGATGCAATTAAGTTAAACATAATCAGAAGAGTCCATTTACATTTAATTAGCAGATTTAATCTAAAGCAACGTAAATTCCAAAAACAGGGTCAAGCAGGCCCCAGAGTGACTGAGCTTAGGGGCCTCGCTCAAGGACCACTGTGAAACCAGTCTGCCGGTGGTGGGCTGCAACCCGACTACCTCCCGGTCACAGGCCCAACCTCCTAACTCTGCTGAGCCAATCACTACCACACAGACTACAAAACAAATCATGTTTAACTCATGTTGATGAAACCTGAGGCCTGATAATGTTTACTCTTCACTCAGGAGCTCCCGAGGAGACGAAGCGCCTACCTACCTACCTTCAGGAGCTCCCGAGGAGACGCAGCACCTACCNTACCTTCAGGAGCTCCCGAGGAGACGCAGCACCTACCTACCTTCAGGAGCTCCTGAGGAGACACAGCGGCTACCTACCTACCTTCAGGAGCTCCCCAGGAGACGCAGCACCTACCTACCTACCTTCAAGAGCTCCCGAGGAGACGCAGCACCTACCCACCTACCTTCAGGAGCTCCCGAGGAGACGCAGCCCCTTACCTTCCTACCTGCAGGAGCTCCCGAGGAGACGCAGCCCCTTACCTTCCTACCTGCAGGAGCTCCCGAGGAGACACAGCACCTACCTACTTCAGGAGCTCCCGAGGAGACGCAGCCCCTTACCTACCTACCTTCAGGAGCTCCTGAGGAGACGCAGCGCCTACCTACCTACCTTCAGGAGCTCCCGAGGAGACGCAGCGCCTACCTACCTACCTTCAGGAGCTCCTGAGGAGAAGCAGCGCCTACCTACCTACCTTCAGGAGCTCCCGAGGAGACGCAATGCCTACCTACCTACCTTCAGGAGCTCCTGAGGAGACGCAGCGCCTACCTACCTACCTTCAGGAGCTCCCGAGGAGACGCAGTGCCTACCTTCATGATGCCGTTCCAGTTATCGCCGGTGGACACCTGGAAGAGGGTGAGGAACGCCATGCCGAAGTTCTCGAAGGTGGCGTGGCGGCTCATGCCCTCACAGGGGTAATCCTCGTTACACACTGCGGACAGAGCAGCAAACAGGTGAGTCTCTCCCCATACATTCTTACTGTAGCTTTGGATTTTTAATTTGATTATTTTTGTATTATTTTTTTAGTTTTCCTTTAAAACCCAGTTCAGTTTTAATAAGTTTTCACTGTGGTTTTATCAGTTTTTATTTTAAAGATACGTTTCAATTTAATTTTATATAATTTAATTTCAGTTATTTAGTAACTCAATGTTATTTCTAGGGATAGACTGAATGTTGTGCAGTTATTTTATGTGTCTGCATGATCTGTAGAGAATGTGACATGAGTACACAGCGTACATTATGTACCGATCTCCTCAAGGGGCGTAAAACGTGTTCCCGGAATTATTAGTAGTCAGTAAGGCAAGCAAACCATTAGTCGAGCTAAATAATATCGTAAAATGCTAACAGAAAGTATTTGACATTGGTTTTTTATTTTATTTCAACTAGTTTCTAAAGCAACATTTATAAGTTTTTCTTAAGTTGCAATTTTTAAATTGTATTTATTGTTTTTTATTTTATTTCAACTAGTTTCTAAAGCAACATTTATAAGTTTTTCTTAAGTTGCAATTTTTAAATTGTATTTATTGTTTTTTATTTTATTTCAACTAGTTTCTAAAG